ATATAATTATCATACATGCCACAATTTTTTTACAATGATTTTCACTTTAATTCCTCATGATAATTCAGTTTAACAACATGTATTTTTTGCTTTAAAAATTTAAAAAATTAAAAATACATTTTTAATGCAAAACTGCATTAAAACTATAATACAGTTTAACATCATGTATTTGTTAATGTATTTTTTTGCATTAACAACAAACTAAAAAATACAGTTTTGCATTAAAAATATAATAACATGTATTTTTTTGCATAAATAATCTATCAACATGCAATTTTTTGAACTAGAAATTTAACAATAAAAATTAAAAATATTGTTTAATTCCTCATGATAATCAAAAACAATTTTTTGAAAAATCACGATTTCTCAAAAAAATTGATCATGAATAAAAAAAAAAAAACCCCAGTTCTTCACAGGCCAACTTAACATCAGTCATTCCAACTCAAAAATCCACCTCAAATCCAATAAATTACATCAAATTTAATACATGTTTTAATAAACAACACTATAAGGAATCAAAGCCCTATTATATTAACACATTATTATCAAAATATTAAATAAAATCATGAGGGGAAAAAAAAAAACACAGTTCTTCACAGACATCAGTCATTCAATCTCAAAAATCAATCTCAAATTGAATAAATCAAATAAAATTGAATACATAAGATGATAAACAACACTATAGCGAATCAAAACCCTATAAATTTAACACATTCTTTGCAAAATATTTACTGAAATTGTGAAAATGGTGGATAAAAAAAAAAAACAGTCCACTTTTTTTTTAACAAACATCACTCTTATTTTCTATAAAATCCAACTCAAATTGCATAAATATAAGCAAATTGAATATATCTAATGATAAACAACACTACAAAGAAACAAAACCCTATAAATTTAATACATGATTTATAAAATATTGACTGGATTTGATCACATGGCGGAAAAAAAAAAAAAAAAACTGAGTTTTTACCTGTTCCTCGTGCATCCATGCCTTCAAACTCAAAATTGATATCTATTCCTCCAAGATAATCACAAATTATGAACACAAAATTCTGACCAACACTCTTACAATCACTCAGCCTGCAATTTTACAAAAAATGAAGCTTTATTTCGATTGAAATCGTGAAAATGGTAAAGAAAAAAAAAAACAGTCCTACTTTTTTTTAACAGACATCACTCGTATTTTCTAAAAAATCCAACTCAAATTGAATAAATATAATCAAATTGAATATATCTAATAATAAACAACAGTACAAAGAATCAAAACCTTATAAATTTAATACATGATTTGTAAAATATTGACTAGATTTGATCGCATAGCGGAAAAAAAAAAAAACCGAGTTTTTATCTGTTCTTCGTGCATCCGTGCCTTCAAACTCATAATTGATATCTACTCCTCCAAGATAATCACAAATTATGAACACAAAATTCTGACCAACACTCTTACAATCACTCAGCTTGAAATTTTACAAAAAATGAAGCTTTATTTCGATTGAAATCGTGAAAATGGTGGGAAAAAAAAGTCCACTTTTTTTTAACAGACATCACTGGTATTTTCTAAAAAATCCAACTCAAATTGAATAAATATAATCAAATTGAATATATCTAATGATAAACAACAGTACAAAGAATCAAAACCTTATAAATTTAATATATGATTTATAAAATATTGACTGGATTTGATCACATGGCGGAAAAAAAAAAAAAAAACTGAGGTTTTACCTGTTCTTCGTGCATCCGTGCCTTCAAACTCAAAATTGATATGTATTCCTCCAAGATAATCACAAATTATTAATACAAAATTCTGACCAACACTCTTACAATCACTCAGCCTGAAATTTTACAAAAAATGAAGCTTTATTTCGATTGAAATCACTGAAATGGCAGAAATCGTAAAACTCACTCTGCGAACCAAATTTGTTGATAAAAAACGGTGGTTTTTAATTTGTTTTATTGAGTAAAAATGATTCGAAATTTAAATTAAAGCCTGTAATATTCGTTCATGAGGCTGAAAACGTTGAAAATCGATCAAAAAATGACAAAAAATATCAAAATCCCGTGAAGAACACTGTGCAGCTCGTGTTCTTCGGGGTGACTCGCGATTCTACAATTGGGACTCGGACAGAATCACGAGTCTACTATTGGGAATAGCCTGGTTCTCTCTGGACACGGGCGATTCCCATTTTTTGTGCGGAATCGACGCGTCCTGTAGTGATTCTCGAGTCGAACCGAGCAAGTCCGACTCGACTCGACGATTTTTTAAACCCTGGTTCTTATTAATAGACTATTTTTTAAAAAAATGTCTATTAGTATCTCTAGTGAGAGACTTCTTACAAATATTGGTGTAGAGATTAAAAAGAGGGACGTGTACCCTTTAAAGAGAGATATATAGAAAAAGAAAAAAAAAAAAAGAATAAGAGATTTTTAGAAGATAAAGAATCTTTATAGAGAATTTTATGATTGATATTTATATACTTTTTTTGTTTTTTAAATTTTCTATTAATATCTCCAGAGAGAGAGACTTCCTAAAATATTAGTGTAGAGAGCCAGGAGAAATACTAAATTTTAGAGAGAGGCACCATTCCATTTTTGTATCCGAAATAGAAAAAGAACTAGAGAGAGGCATGAATCTTAAATATTGCATGCATATTAGATGAAATATTGGACGTTTTAAAATAGAGCCTCTCTCTCTCTCTC